TATGGAACTTCAATAGATCAGTAGACCTAAGACACAATGTTGCAGTACAGTAATGGAAAGAGGCTGCCATATTAAAAGCCTCTTATCATACAATGTTACTCATGAGATGAGGACAGGCGTCTTGGCCTGGACTGCATGCTACATTTTTGCTCAATTGCTAGGCAGGGAAAGGAGAATGGGGCATGTGGTGATATATAGTTTAAGGTTTCTTTGAACCTCATCTTATCTTATTTGTTCTAAACTAAACCCGTTTATAATAACCCACAAAATCATTCCAGTGGGAGAAAGTTAATGGGGCACAGAATTATGCATGCAGGTCATGTCCGAATATTTTTGAGCTCCCCCCCCCCAGTGCAAAGCTCTGGCAGGAACAGAAGAGACACACAGCCACTGCCAGTTTTTATTTTTAAATCATTTTTTTGTGAGTTTATTTTTTCTTCCCTTTTCGTTCCCAAGATACCAGATCTGCTGGCGCAAAAAGGACATTTATTTTAATTGTAATAGCACAGGGTTTGCTGTAAAATGTCACTGTACTAGAAATTATGAAATTATAAGGATTTTTAAGTCCATAATACCCAGAACAAGCAGGGGCTTTACCAAAGTAAAATGTGCTAACTCTAGATAAAGCTTCCTACAGTACACAGGGCTATGCAACGCTCATTTCATCAAATTTAATGCAAAACCAAATATGTTACTGGAAATATGTCTGGAAATTAATAGTCATATTATAATCAGTCTTTAAGCCCTGTCAGCAATGGCTCTTTTTATTGTTTTTACAATTTTAACAATTTTAAAAATCATAGGTCCTTCCCTATAAAACATAGAACTGTAAGTAAAAAAGTACATCTGCAATAAATTTTTCTACTTTTACTGACCTTAGAATCTTCAAGGTTGGTGCCGGAATGAATAATTTGCATTTAACTTTGAAACTGCATTTTAAGAGAACAGTAAAAGCACTTTCCTCTGATAAGCAACATTAATTTGAGGTCGCAAAATGTAAAATAAAAGATTCTGAGCTGATTGACATTTCATACACCTTTCACAGAAAATGGCAGGTTTTTGTATTTATTCATTCTCTCTGTTGCTATAATGTCTGAAACAGATCGGGTGCTGTTAGTTGTGACCACATTCTTTTGCATGTGGCTATCAACAATTATCAAGAATTACTGTGTATGAAAAAATAATATGTAGATTTGTACTTGGGGAATGTATTGTTAAGTCTGAAATGATCTCAGATTTAAGATTTTTTGGCAAGGCAGCACTTGTTAACAAACCTGACTTATTAGATGCACAAATGGGTAACATCCAAAAACAGGTGAAGGACAGAAATGTCCACAAACCACAAGAGTATGTTATGTGTTTAATATCACAGCAATGGGGCCTGTGAAAATAGGTGACTCTATGCTGCATCATCAAATATGTCAATGAAATGCAATAGGCCTCAGCGCACTGAGCGAGTTTCAGACATGACCCGACCTCCATCTGAAATCCAGGCAGAGTAAAACGCCCCTGCTGTGGAGAACCTATATTTTTGGCGGAGTTATCTGTTGTCTAAAGAGCAACACTGTGCACGTTCAGAGCCCACAAGCACCAGGAATGGAAACTGACAGGTGTAGGGAGAGCTGCATTTGTCACAGTAACAGGAGCATGATCCCTGATCTCTCTTCAGGGCCTCAGGTAAAACTGGAGCCCATTTGATCTGACAAGAGATTGGGAAGATTCATATAGGATTTTGGCAAATATCTCTTTCCCCATGAAGCTGGTCACTTGCAATGTTGGGCCTGCAGTTTCCTGTTTCCTGGCAATTAAGCAATTCATCTTCCAACATGCTGAGAGGTCACTGTTAAAATGTGGCAGTAAAATAATTATTTCCCACCGATTTTGTCACTGAAACATCTACTGTATGTTGTGAAAATAAAGCAATCCCAGTTACTGTTCTCTGCATTATTGTAACTGGCATCTTTTTAGTATTTATAGACAGAGAAAACTGTTAATTTGACATAAAGGTGGCACCTCATCTCCTCACTGGCTACATTAAAGTACCTCCATCTTATATCATAGTAAAAGAAGCACAGTTCCTCAGCATCTTTGTACTTTAAAGGGGATTTTTTACAGAAAGTGCCACATTATTCCTTTTAGATATGTCCTTCCCTTTTTGGTTAGGTGAATTTATTTTAGATCCATTTAAATAGAAAATGGCGAGTACAGTATTGATTTAGACATCATTAAGTACTGCTATATTATTATTATTATTATTATTAT